TTCATTTCTCATGCAGTTTGAGGTATGTTCTGTGTGTGTGTGTGTGTGTGTGTGTGTGTGTGTGTGTGTGTGTGTGTGTGTGTGTGTGTGTGTGAACACTTTCCAGTACGCTTGGGTGGAGAAACATCTGGGCCATGACTTTCTGGATCAGGTCATCCTCACCAGAGACAAGACACTAATCACCGGTGATATCCTCATAGATGACAAGCCTGACATTCAAGGTGGGCTTTGTGAGGGTCAGCAATACACACAAACCAGTAAAACTAAATATTGTAATCAGATTAAAGATTATTTCAAACTCCTTTATCTCCCAGATTTCTCCTTTTGTCCCACATATTTTAACCACTGAGTAAAACTGCAGTGTTATCGAAACATTGGGACTTTTCATTTGAATGGTGACTCCCTAAAATAAAGTTTCTAATTGTTGGTTGTTTTCCACTCCTGTAACTAATCTCAACTGTTGGCCATGCAGTTAGAAAACAAAGACAWATTAGTACAATTGGTTTGCTGTTGTGGTGCAGAGGTTAGATGTAAGCCTGTGATCGATAGGTCACATGTTTGAAACCCTGGATCATTACCAAAACCTGCTTCTACCCTCATTTGCCCCACTGTRGGCTGTTGAGCAAGGTATTTAACGCCCACCCCCACCCTGACTATTCCTTAAGATGTAGTTTTAGATAAATACATAATAACACAAAGTAATATTTGTACGCTGCGGCTCAACTCAGGTTTCATTCTGAGACCATGTTTTTAACCATATTGCCCAATCAAGGGTCAAGTGTTCTCTTCAGGTCACAGCAGTCTTTCTAAATGTCTCATTCTTTTACCAGCTGCTGAAAAAGCCTACAGGATAATACATTATTTGGTCTTTCTGTGTCAAATCCTCCAAAAAAGAAAGACATTTTAACCCGACCATCTCAGATTTTGATAAGAATTAGCACATTAGTCATTTGATCTGGTCCAGATGTTCAGTTTTTCTGAAAAAAAAAAAAGGACGAGTGGAATGAAATCCCCTGAATTGTTGCTCATCCTTTCATTTGATGAAGGGGTTATTTACCTTCAGAGTGCTTTAGGAAATAATTAAAATTTGACAACGTTCCAAAACTGGAAACCTTCTGTTTCAAATTTTTTTTTGTTACTTTTTCAAAGTTGTATTTGTCATTTTTTTCTAGTTGTGGCAGCATGACAYAATAAATTACATATACATCCTAAAATTAACATTAAAAATAAACATTAAATAGTCCATAAAATCTTAAAAAGTGGCTGTAAGTTTTTGTCTGAACATGCTCAGCTTATGAAACATTTGTAACAATGTGTTCCTTTTGGGTCRGCTGGCTGGTTTGAAACCTTGATTTTTGGTTGGTGGTTTTCGCAGTGGCAGCCCCCCATCTAAAAAAATCACCTGTTTACTGTATGTTGGCTTTTAGTTCAAGTTCAGTTTAAGTTCAGTCAGGTCTTTTATCTTAGGTTTCTTTATTTTGACTCTCTAGTCAAATTTATAGTATTGGTTCTGTTGGTATGTTTACATTGGCTGTTTGGTCAGCCTTGTGGTTTTGAAACATGCTAACGACATGATGCTCATGTGTCCCGTTCAGGCGTGGAGTACAATCCAGCGTGGGAACACATCCTGTTCACGGCCTGCCACAACAAGCACCAGTCCATCGAGTCCAGTCAGAGACGACTCCTGTCCTGGTMTGACGACTGGAGGACCATCCTGGACAGCAAAAGGCAGCGAGGACCTGAGGATGAAACCTCAGCAGCGTCCCGGTCAGCTGACAGTATGGACGCATGAGCTTGTGTTTTTACATCAACCAGTAGCTCGGAGAAAACCTTCAGTATTTTTACCACAAGAGGGCAGTGTGTCACCATGTGTGGATCTGTGTTGACACTTTCATTAAAGCTGAATATTTGCATGGTAAGTTTAAAAAAAAAAGGGGGAAAAGTGCAAGCTGCTTTGATTTCACATGCAAACGTCTTTCTTTTTGTTTCTAAATGTGGACATTTGAAGCCCGTTTTATTTTTGAGACGCTGGAGTGTTTTTTTTTTTTTTCTACAGCCTTCACCACAAAAGGCCAGTTGCATAAATGTGTCAATGCACTGTGATTCAACATCAGACCGCACAACTACTCAGAAACACGAATGAAAATAAGCTCATGGAGTCGTAGGTGTTGGCGATTGTTGCATAAGACTGTGACCTAGACTTATGGACACTGTAGCTGTTTTCACCAGATGTTATTTAAATGAATGAAACACCACTGTAATGTTAATGCTCAAACATCTGCAGGACAGTTTGCTCGGGTTTTATTGATTTCAAACAGATACTTTGGTGCTTTTTTTTTAGATGTCACCCTTCATTTTACAAAGATCTATGCATCTTATTTACTTAAACACGCATGTTGCCAAAACACCACTAACTTAGATTCAAATATTCACTTTATAAATATTATAAAAATGTATATTTTGGTTTAATTTAGAAGTTTTCCTATTGAACCCTCCTGCTGCCCTTGGGTCAAAATGACCCACAACAGATATTTCACACTACTTTGTAAAAGTAGTTTATGGAAATGATTTAGCTTATTTATAGATGTCATGTCTTAATAGATTTACTAAGTTAATTTTGAGARATGTTTTTACAGTTTACATGCACATGTCACAACTGATCAACTGTTCAACAGATGTACAATTCGAGACCTATCGAGATATTAAATTGTATTTATTTTAGCATGTCACTTTAAGGGTAAACAGGGTTTATACAAGTTTTACAAGTTTTTTTTTTTGTCATTTTTACGACAAAATGACCAACAGCTGTTTTGTCAGAGGATTTTAGCAGGTTTTCAAAGCAACATTTTTTTGAGTTTAGTTTTTGTATGTCATGAATGCACCTTCAGTGTGGAGTTTTTGTTTTGCTGTTTTTATTGTGCTTTTGAACTTGTCCTGAAAATGTTCTCAGTGCTTAAACGGTTGTTTTGTGCCCGTTTTAATGTGCAAAGTAAAAATAATTCTGTCCCTGAATGCTGTTATTTTCACAATAATTAAACAGCAATRAAAAAGGACACTGTAAACTGTCATTTTTAATTAGTAAGTTGTGTTGTTTTTATGCTTTAATCAGTGGGATTTTCACTGTAAAACCAACCAGATGAAAGCAAGTCGTGAGAAATGTTTGGAAACTTGCTCACCCTCAGGCTTTGGGCATTTGGACACGGGTGGGGAGCAATCTGAACATGATGAGCACGCCTCTTCTCCTGATCCTCCTCTGGAGGTAACAAACATCTCAGCACATGCATTTTATTTGTTTTTGAAGWGGAAAAAACTGGACTAGAACAAAAACACAGACTGAGTGTGTTGGGCTATTGAGCATAAATGACAATGTGCCAAAGTTTATTAGAGAAATTTATTTGAATATAATTTCACATTTTTAGTAACAGAAGAACATCTTTTATGTTGYTGACTAAAACTAAGCAGTGACTTCAATTTGTAGCCCATTTTATTCACTATACATGTAAATAGAATAAATGTGTTCTTCACAGGTTTTATTAAGTYAGTAAGYAAAGTTTTATTTATAAAGCGCCTTTCACAGAAATATATTCACAAGGTGCTGCTGTACAATCATTAACAATGTAAAAATGGTGGAAARATATGAAACAGAAATAAAACGGAATAAAACAYAAGCAACGCAATGAAACATCAAATCAAGATTAATTCTAAAATTGTAACTCAGACACACGGTCAACGCAGAGCAAAATATACATTTTGTCCTCTGATTAATATTTAAAATAATATTGTAAATGTGAGTATTTTTAGGTTTCTGTTAGAGGAACCTGACTTGTTGAGAAGATGGTTAGCTAATAGAGACAAATTTCATCCTATAACCAGAGAACATTTTCTAACTGTTGACAGGTAAATATTTTCTTGTTTTTTATGACAGTAAGAAGAAATAATAAATATACTTTATTACTAGCTGAAGTCATCATTTTTCAACTAGCTAAAGTCTAAGTTACAGGCTGACTTCAGTGTTATGATCCTGCTCCTGTCTGCCTTTATCTTATCTCAGTCCTAGTC